GCCTTTACTCTAACACCTTCAACTTTTCACTAGGACAGTTAACTTTTCTATCCCCATCTATGAAACAGAAGATGTGCTCTTTGTATGTACAGCTCAAGCAAAACCAAAAAACCACAAAACACAAAAAACATGGCTACCAACAACAAAAAACTCCCCCCTTACCCAGTGTCAGTTTTGACTATCTAAAGAACGCATTTGCAATATCAGTAAAACCATGCCAGCTTCAGTTTTCCCTAAAGCACATCCGTTAAGCATGCCTATGCATGACTTCAAGGCTTTTGAGGTATAGCAAAAAGCAAAGATTTGCAGTAATTCAAAGAACAGTTGAATTTCAGAACTTACTAAAAGAAGCTGGACTATTATAAATACTGTACTTCAACTTCTGAGCTACAAACTCACTCTTTCTAAAAAGACAGTCCCGTTTTATCTTCTAAGCTCTCAGGTAGTAAGTAATTGTTTTTTTCTACAGCTCTTCATACATTTGCTTGTAATTCTGTACTGCTCACATAGCCAGAGGCAACCTGCCCACACAGGAAGGAAGGCAGAAATGCAGCTGCCTCACCAAGGCAAATGATTTGTCTTAGAACTGATATCAAGTATATTTTTAATGGTAGGTCTCTCCCAATTAAATCTATTCATACATAATTTGAGCCAATACTCTTTGGTACATTCAGACAAAAAGCTCCCTGACAACTGTCAATTATTTTTCTCAATTTCACCTATTTTTTCCCCTCTATCAAGTACATTCTGTGCTTTGTTCGAGAAAAGACGCTTTCTTTGTCGAGCCAACAGCTGTACTAAGACATAAGAAAAAATGCTTTAAAGCCACTGATAGATAGGTAACCAGCCTGGCAGCTCCACAACTGTTCCCCAGCACATGCAAAACATTCTCTGACAGGTTGTAAAAAAAACCCCAACAAACAAACAAACAAAAAAAGCCCCTGCAGCTTTGTTGCTTATTCCACAATTACTCCAAGTTTAGAAGATCGTATTATGGTATAACTAAAATTTACAGACCTAGGTATCTGAGTGGATTACAAACCCATGAACAGTGCTAGGGTCCAGTCCTCACTCACTCAAGCTGGAGGACCAGCACTCCCACAGTGCAGCTCAGGCAGGGACTGGAGCTCCAGGGGCCACTGGGCAGGAGGCCAGAGCCCCCTGAGGCTTGTCAGTGCCATTAAGGTCTATTCATGCACTCAGGATCCTGACACATAGCCACCACGTTAGCTTATCTTAGACCACTAAAGAAAGATATTGCTCACTTTTTACTCAGGTTTTTAATCCAACAACTGTGTTTCCTCAGTCGAACCTTTCATGGCTCATGGATTTATGAACTGTGCACTCCTCATGCCAGTCCACACTAGCCACATCATGAATGAAAACAATTATTCTACAGTTATACTTTGACCTAGACAAAAGGAATGTAATTGCAACTATCTTTCTACAATTCACATTACTGAAGACTAATAATTTAAAAACCATGGCGGTAAGAGGTAACCATGTCATCAGGGTCAAGTAAAGAGAAAAATGGGAGGTTCTGCAGAAGACATCATCTCTGCTGCCCATTTAGCCTTCAGAAATATTGATGTGCCGACTTTTCAGGCACACTACAAATGAAACTCCATGGAAAATAAACCAAATGGCAGCCATCCATAAGAGATTATCAAAAGACTGTTGCAGACAGAGCTGAAACAAAAGCACTCAAATACAGAGGAAAGATGGAATACGCAGCATCGACAACTTGAGCACAAAATATATTCTGGAACTAAAATAAACCCTTGAAAAGTTTCCCACCAGATGTAGCTTGCATTCGATTTTCTTACCTGATCTGCTGCAATGAAATAGGTGCTTTAATTTGCTGATAATAATCAGGATATTTTTTCTTGGAGGGCAAGTGGAAAAAGGGTTCAGATATGAGCTGGCCCTGATTATTTCGGCAACTTCTAACTGTGTCATAAAGCTGATAAAGAGGATTAGAAGCATCCATGAAGGAAGTAATGCTCTCTGCTTCTGATTCTCCTTCTTCATAACGAGCAGCAGCTGCACAGAGAGAAAGGAAAAAGGTGAAACTCAGCAGGACAACTCAAAGTCAGTTTTTCTGCTTGATACTTCAAATGGATAAAGATCTAAACAAGAAGAAAACGCAGTCCTGTCTGGCAGTCAGATTCATACCTCAGTAGAGGACATCACAAATATATCTTATGAGTCTCTAACTGGCAAAAGCAGTACTTTATCCAGGTATTGCAAGCTCTCTTATCAGATGAGACTTTAGTTCTAGCACTGGTAAAATATCCTTGCCACCTACATAGAGAACCACTGAGGAGTGTTCAGATATGAAACTACTTAACAGGACTATTCAAGCACACACTACCCATAAAGAGTTATGTCCTTATTTACCCATGAAACCATTAACACCACTATTTGTGCCAAGTGCATTTGTATGCTGAACTGCCATTCTGCTGTCTGACAAGAGCTCGCTACACTGACAGACCACGTCTGGGATCTTCAGAGGTGACTCGCCAGGTAAGAGAAATGGAGAAACTGATCATGGGTTTTTTCATACATATCAAACAGGTGACCTCAGAACTTTTATAACCCTCTAGCCCATATTAATCACAGCTCAATTAAAAAACGGTGACATTTAGCAGGAAAAGAAAATGACACCACAGCCTGAAGGTACACCGCTAATACATGCAGCAAAATTTTAATTACCAGAAGCATTTTACAAGAAACTATTTACTAATTTATATAGTAAACTTTTCCAGTCATAATATGAAGCATATATGCTTCAGGATTAGGATGAATGAAAGAGATTCTATGAAGAACAGACAAAATTAGGAGAACCATTACATGAGCAATGTAATGCATCCTGGTAGTGGAAAGACAGGATGGGAAGCAAAAAATGGCCAACCCTTCCATGCTCCTCAGTAACATGAATGGTGTAATTTGTACCTTGCAGACAGGCATAACATAAAAATTACGTGGGTTTGCACATGCTAGAGTTAAATTATTCACTCT